AATTGTAAGCCGCCCTGAGTCCCCTCAGGGAAAAGGGCGGCCTATAAATAATAAACAAAATACAAATACAAATACAAAGAATCTGTTGGAAAGGAAGTCATAACTGATTTACAAAGAACAAACATGAGTTTCCTGTTTCCTTTATTCACGTACAAAAATCTTTGTTTAAACATCTATTTCATTCTACTAACTAGTTTAAACCAAGGGATTTTTAAAATTTTAATAAAAGCTTGACCTCTCGGCAGCTTCCAATATCGTCAATTATGGCATCCTTCTACATCAGCTTTGGGAGTTCATGTAGGGGCAAAGGTTTATCCCCATTTTCCTCCATCCCTTGGGGTAGATACCCATCACATTGATAGGAGTAGCCTGCAAAGGACGGCTTTTGTGATGTGCTACAAATGCCTCAACACTCTCTCCACTTCTATTTATCATTTACATAAAATTGCTGGATGAGGTCATTTGATGGCATAGGGTAAGGTATCCTAAGCATACAAATGATACTCAGTTACACAGCTCCATCCCAAGTTGACCAATGCCTTGGAGATTTTGCCTTGATATCTGGAAGCCAGGGACCTCTGAATGGTGAGGAATAGAGTTCAGATCAAGTCTGGTAGGACTAAGTGGGTCCAGTGATATTCCATTGAGTTCTGGATGGCGTTGCAAAACTCAAAACAGAATGATTTACAATTTGGAAATCTCCCTGGACTCAAAACTCCGGATTTATTTATTTTTTTTAAAGCGGGGGTGGGTGGGGGGGGTGGGTGTGTTTCTTGTACAGCTTCATATTTTATGCCAATTGCACCCTTCCTGCACTGGAAGGCATTGCTCATGGTCATACATGTTTCAGCCCTCACCAGAATGGCCTACTGTAATGCATTCTGCATGGGACTGATCTTGAAGAACATCTGGAAGCTGCAATTGGTCCAGAAGCGATTACTGATGTTTTCCAATGAAAGAGGACTGTTGGTCTCTATCAATTCTATAAGCAGGAGGGTTATGCCTTGGTCCCCATCAGTTACAGGATATCATATTGTGGGGCCCAGAAAATGTGTCCTTCCTGTGGTGGTATCTGCCCCCTGGAACACCTTATCCTCTGAGATCAAATTGATTCTGAACCTCCTTGTTCTCCCAGGCATAGGGATTATGAAGTAAGTGAAACCTGATTCTACATCCTACATTATAGACAGAGATGAGGCAATGGATTATGTACATATAATCTGACAAATACAGAAAAACATTACCATATTCTTTGTTCCTTTCAGTACATCATTTTGAACGAATATAGAATGTCTCAGTTTACAAGTACAAAGGGAACATATCTGGAACCCCTATAATCTGTTCTGCTAACAAAATTCTCAGGACTCTGTCAAAAATTACTGATCTAGGGGCTCTAATATTACATTTCATCTTTCTTGAATGATCACTACATACTATACTTGGCAGAAAGCAATAAACCTGAGAAGCATTCAATGCTGGCATTCTTACCTGTTTTTCTCGATTTCAGTGTCTGAGAACACAGAGTCTGCGCCACGAGCACCACGGCAAAATTCATCGGTACCACTTTCATCCTCAAAGTCAGAAGTGTTGAGGAAATCAAAACTTTCCAGTGCGCTCTCAACTGTTAGGCTTAAGCTGGACGACCTGCTGTGACTTACTACTGGTCTGCCCTGCAAGAGCAAAACCAAAATAATATGTGAAGAACAGTTTAGCCACTCAAAATGGTTTGGTTTCAAGAATATTCCAGGAAAATTGGGCGTGAGAGTTTCTCTTCAAATACACCAATGATCCCCTGCAGTTGGCTTGTTTGGCCTTGTCCTCCCACCATTTAATTCCAGATTTTAGGATTTTACTTTTCATGTATTTTGAGAACAGAGGAGGATCTAACTTATGGAACTTTATTTCAACAATAGATGTAGTTGTGATGATATTTAGAAAAATCAGATCTAAATGAGCTGAGATTTCCATTATTGAAAAAGCTCTACCCTGAAAAAAACACTAAGTAATTCACTTCTCTGCCATGCTCACTGGTCAACTGAGATGTGATGAGGAAATTCCAAAAAGGGATTATTTGACTTTTGAAAATACTGTACTTAGGGTTAGATCAGGGATGTCAAACGTGCCTCGTCACGGTGTCATGTTACATATCACAACTCCCCCCCCCCTTTTGCTAAATCGGGTGTGGCCATGGCCAGCACATGATGCATCCAGGCCCCGGGCTGCGAGTTTGACAGCTCTGGGTTAGATATAATTCAATCCAGACCCAATCTTACATAGCCCACCTGAACCCTACTGAGTCCATTGGGGTATCAATCACAGGTAGTCCTTCGGTTAAAATAGCCATAAAGACTGGAAGATTATTAAATTACAATTGTAAAATGTGATGTCATATGATGGGTGTTCACTTTTTTTCTCTCTAGTTCACTTAGTGATAGCAGTTCCAATTGTCCAAGATTGCTGTTGTTAAACGAAGACCTTCCAACTTCCTGCCTGCCTACCATTTGATTTTGTTTGTGGGAAGCCAGCAGAGAATGTCAGTAACTGTTGTCATGTGACTGTAGAGATAGTGGGATAGAGGGAAGTCTGAGGACCAATTGTAAGTCCCCCTTGTTCAGTGCGGACACAAGTTTGAACCAATGGATATAAGTTGAAGACTATTTATATATATATTAAATAAAATAAAATAAGCTTAAATTAACATGCCTACCCCAATGTCATGGCAACTGCTGCCCATGATATCAAGTAATCCTCACATTATCATAAATTTAGAAGAAAATGTAACATTATCCACATTTGAAACTGATGGGCTGATGGGACTGAAACCGATAGGCTCATATCTTAAGGCCCTCTTTTATACATGTCATTAATCTAATACATTTTACGGTTCATTTTAAATAGATGATTTTAAAACTCCTATACTAAGTGGAAAAAAATTGTCAACATTGTGCATCTGATCACTATCAGTTATTTCCAAAATTGTAATGGTTGGATTTTAAATAAAACACACGCGCACACACAGAGAGGCACATACAAGATGTGTGTGTATGTGTGTGAGAGATTTAAAATATGCTAATTTGTCTGTTTCTGCACGGATATATGCATTATATTAAACAAACCATGGCTTAGGGCTGTGACTCCTGTCAAAATGACAGCTCAGGGAGTCTGAAAACAAAATAAAATTTAAATATTCAAACTTCAAAAGGTATGTTAGGTTTGCTGCTTTATTAAATATTGAATGTATATTCTCTTACTTTTTATATATTTCATTTTAATTAGTTTTTAACAAATTCTAAAATTGTGATTTAATATTGTTGTAAGCTATCCAAAGAAAATTTGCTTTAAAAGAATGACACAAGTTAAGAAAATGAAGATCAGAAACTCAATTATTTAGTGTTTTAAAACTATTTAATAAAGGTAATTTTAAAAATTACATTTCCTGTACAAATAAAGCTATATCTGGTAACGTAAACTGAAGAGTGTAAATGTAACATTTAATGGTCTTTATCAGAGCTTTCATATTCTGTGGTAATTACTGTAGTACCTTTTAGTTGAAATCAAAGTGTTACATGAATACAAATTTAACCCAAGATTATCCAATGAAGTGCTAATGTATTTCCACCAATGTAGCCAATTACAAATCAGGAAAAAGTGTGTGCACTGAAAGGCTTCTGTAACACTAGTCCAAAAATAAAGTTCAGGAGCTATTCAAAGAACAATATTGCAATATAATATCCAAAATATTCACTGACTTGGCTATCAACAGGACATTGACTGACCGCATTGTACAATAAATACACATATCAATTAAATGGGATGAAATGGATTACAAAAATGAAATATATAAAAATGTAAAAAAAATTGCCAAGCTCCATATTTCTCTATTAACATCTATAATTAAGCTATTCAATTTACAAACAGATAACTTAATAAAATAGCATTATGATAATGAGTGGTACTTTATCTAGCTCCCTGTAGCATTCTACTATATAAGAAGCATTTCCACAATGACATCACTAATTCAATTTGGCACTGGTTCATTTTGGCACGCCAATTTATTATGACATGGAACCAAGACTTAGTTCTGCATATTGCTGTATGTGAAAACAGAACATGGAATGACTTAACTGTCAATCATGTTACGTCAAATTAAAAGGGAGATTTAAAATCTCTTTCAAATTCAAACTCTTCTTCTATAGGCAGAGGAATAATTAATCTTAGAAATAACAAGCAAAGCAGTAAACAATAAGCAGGATTGGAACTGGTTAATATTTAGATGAGAGGCCAGAAGAAAAATTACAGAATTGTGACGGATACTCGAAAAACATTGCAGTAGAGAATACCAACAAACCAATTCTGTATTGTAATTAAGAAAACTATATCAACATGTCCTTAAATTTACCAGATTTAAGTTAATCCAACCACCTGCCAATTTATATTAAACAAAGGGGGAGGGGAGAACTGTAGTTCAATTCAGTTTGACCATCCATACCTGACTAATTTTGAGATTTCAGTTGATGGATCTGCTCCTCACACTTCCATATACGACTGGAATAGGAGGGCAGAATGCATCAGAGTTTCCACAATTTTGTTGTTTTAGCTTATCTAACAATTGCTTTATTTAGGGCTTCTTGTTTTGTTGTGTGAAAAGTACACCTATACTGTAGATATTAACAGCCAAAAGTATAATTCAGCAATAGCTAGCTGGGATTATTTCATTAGACAAAGACTTGATCTGGCCCTTCCATTTTGTGACTTCTTTCTTGGTCATTCTTAGATTGAATGTAAACGGTGAACTGATGCTTGGTATGAGGAAAGCTACTATCTAAACAATTAGTTTTATTACTGAAGATTAGATAACAATTCTTCTATTCACAACGAATGAAATTTCTTATTTGAAACTAAACTTACTTTTAGGATCTCATCTAGATGTGTAATTCCTTGGTCCAATTCCTGGAATTCTTTAAACTGTTCTTTATGAGGTTCAAGAGCTAATAGAAGCCCCTGAAATGCTTCTTCTAGACTTCCATCAACACATGATTTATAGCCTTCAGATTCTCCACTAATTGACCCCTCACAATGACATTTTTCAGGTGTCATTGGCCCCTCTCCAGATGTCAGTCTTTTAACCAGCTGCTTTGTGATATTGCCTTCAAAGGTATCCAGCTCTACAGGTTTGACGTCTGATAACTCCTCTGTATCCGGAAGAAGTGACTCTGAGGCACGGCTTGCTAAAATCACACTGTTGCCTCTCAAATGAGGAGAACTTTGGCAAAGTTCAGACTCTAGATTTGTTGTCATATTTTCACCATGCTCTTGTGATGTTCCGTTGTTGGATTCATATGTGGAGTCCTCACACCTTGAATGAATATTGTGTACAGTGTCAGGTTTGGATAACCTTTTCCCACTGGGCTCTGGGATTGTGGCAATAATTTCAGGATTGGAATTATCTATTGTAGAGGACGAGTCCGTTGAACTGTATGATGTAGTACAATGTTCACTGGTAATGTCAATGAAACTGAAAGATAATGAACTTTTCTCGTTTTCTGCTGCTCCATTTCCAAAAACATCATCCGATAAATTTGACTGCAAATATAATAAAAACAATTAAAATTAAATTTTCACTGAGCTGACCTTAAGCATTATTTTTTAAAAAAATATACAATTTGCTACTTTTTGTGAAACTAGGCTATTTGGAATTATGAACTATATTCATTTAGCTTTCATGCTACTGATCTTTTCTAAAGTGACAGGAAGAGGCCAAAAAACAAACAAACCTGTCCAAAAGCCAGAAAATAAGAAGGATCAGAAGTAGCACAGAATGTGTATAGAAAAGTTCTAAACCAATTATGAAGCTTTTTTGAGCATTGCAAACTCAATTATCTTTATGAACAAATTAAAATCTTTTCTTTTGCTGACCAGACTTTATGTAGGGAAAGTAGGCTGAAGGAACAAAATGCACACCATCACATGTCATTACATGATTGGTATTACAGTATAGTCGATTACACCATAAGTATACTGGGGATTATCTTGTCCTTTTATTCAGCAATGCTGAAATACAGTTTCAATTCCTTAAACATGACTTATCCAAGATAATTAAGCCGTTTCAATATTGCAGCCTGAAATCAATGGAGATAAAATGTGAATTTTTCACTTTAGACTGCATCAAATTTATTTTTTTTAGTCTCGTACCAAAAATCGTCTATGGACAAGTAGCGAACCATGTGCAGATATAAATATGTTCATAAAATATTGCACATAATAAGTGCTTTCTTAGTTTAGCCTTTTCTCTAAAAATAATTTGCAAAACTAAAGCCAATCAAGAGTTTTATTTGACTACATAAGAAACTTGAGTCGATAGTTATTTGCTCAATAAATAGTCAGCAAACAAGATAGATCTTAAAGAGAAATGTCAGCTTTAGGACATGCGACAAAACAGAGGAACTGCTTGAGAAATGCAGTAAGATATTTTATCACACCATCTGGACTCACATATTGTTCTAGCCCTGTTCTAAACCTTAGCCTGAGAGATGGCAGATCACTAAATGAACGACTGCGACGTAGCTTGTCAAAGAAAGCATCTTGCAGAGTCTCTAAAATGGCGGAGTGGAGACTGTTTTGTGGACGATGTTGCCATTTCTTGAAGTGTTAAGACAAAAAAACAGGGCAATTAGTTGACTACATCGTCTTTTAAACATACTGTAAGCGTACAAAGTATAGATCAGTGGTAGTCAACCTGGTCCCTACCGCCCACTAGTGGGCGTTCCAGCTTTCATGGTGAGCAGTAGGGGTTTGCTGTAACTCTGCTTTATAAATTTTATAAAGTTACTTCCCTACTTTATAAATCACCATTACTGTGGAAATGGTGGGCGGTTAGAAAATTTTACTACTACCAGATGCAAAAGTGGGCGGTAGGTATAAAAAGGTTGACTACCCCTGGTATAGATTGATAAGAAAATATAGTGCAAAACTTCAGAATCAAAGTGCAAACTAAATGAGCTTTTATGGAAGCTTCTCACACGAAAAAGGCCCTTTGTCTATAAGGGGGAAATATCACACCTTTTTTTCCTAAAAAAAGAAATGGTGGGATTCACATTAGCCATATCACATATGGAAACTTTACAGGATCTTCCGCACTAGATCAAGGAATAGGCTAGGGCAGTGGTCTCCAACCTTGGCAACTTTAAGACCTGTGGACTTCAACTCCCAGAGCTTTGCTGGCTGAGGAACTCTGGGAGTTGAAGTCCAACAGGTCTTAAAGTTGCCAAGGTTGGAGACCACTGACTTAGATAACTGAGAAAGGAGAATGTCTGCTAGACATTTTTCTCCAACTATGCCAACATATGGATGCTCATATCATGGGCATGAGGGAAGTTCCCAAAAGACTCCAGAATTCCCCAAATATCCCAAAGTAAAGCTGGCTGAGGAACTCTGGGAGTTGAAGTCCAACAGGTCTTAAAGTTGCCAAGGTTGGAGACCACTGGGCTAGGGGATAGAAAAAAAATAACCTTTGCCAATTCTCTCTTTTTCCTTTGTCCCCCTTTCTGTTATCTCAAACAAAATTGAGCAGACCATGCTACTTAGCCACTAATTGTTTTTGCTATCACTTACAAAGAATGACTGATCCTTGAAAGTTGGTGTTTCTGGGGTGCCTTGACTATAAATGGACATCCTTCTTTGAATAGCTGATGCTTTGCTTGTGTTGCCTGTTGACGGGGTAATGTCCTCCACATCAAATGGACTGCAAAAGTATAAATCTATTATTAGACTGAATCATCGTTAAACTGTTATTCTACTGAATTACAAGGTTTTCTTTTCACTTAAGATATTACAGCATGAGCAACTCATCTTTTTTTCTAGTGAAGTTCTGTACATTGTAAAACAGGTTCACAAAATAGTATTCTTGTATATATTTTCATTTCACATTTTCAGTGCATATTATCTGTGGGTGCCATCTCAAAAATAACCTACAATACCAGCTTGCTCCTTAAACACTCTATTATTTAAAGTGCCAGTTCAGGAGACGTATATCCCATAATTGTATTTTCTGTTGCTGATGTTACTGGAACAACAGTTGATTTGAAATGATGATGGCTGTCCAAAAAGCCATCTTTACTTACTGCCAAGTGATTTCCAGATTCAGCTTTATTGTCCCAAGGTCATTGATATCCACAGCGACAACCTGAGGCTGAGCAGCAAACAAGTCTTTCGTTTCACAAGTAACACTTCCAACCAAAATATGAGTGGCAAGACCTTTTAATTCTGTGACCTTTGGAACAAATTAGTGTTAATAATTAGGAACAAAATAATTGTCAATTAACAGCTCATTATTTCAGTAGCATCTTCACATATCAAATATTAATCCTTCTAAGACCACATTGTTTGTTCAGAAGAGCAAGTAGTACTGGGACTTGCATGTTATTATTGTGTATTAGTATGTGAAAATTACAAGGATACTAAAATGTTTCAGATTTACACAGGACTTCATATTTGCATGGATGATATTTTATTTTTGCCATAAAACAGAAAGCTGAAAACCACTTACACATTTAGGTCAGTTTTCTTACAATATATTACTAATGGTACATTATTTACACAGTTCAGAGTCATAAAAGCTAATTATAATAATTTATTTGTGGGAAACTTCAATGAATGAATGAATGAGGAAGTAACAATAGGGGGAAAATCTAGTACGTAAGACTATGGCACAGGTAAAGAGTGCCAAAAGGTACTGTTTTTAAAAACTGGACAAAGTGGCTGGGTTTTATATAAAATAATAATAATAAATTGTCATGAATATGACATTATTGTATCAATGCCTGCATTTCCAAAACATTCTCACCATTTCTAACTCTTCTTTCACTAATGCTGCCTGACTTATATACCAGAACAATAGCATATAATATTCCTCTTTATATGCAGATGATACAGCTTGCAAACAAAAACCTTAACCTCTTATGGCACTGCAAAAGTCAATGCTCTTTTAGTTGTTACTGAACAAAAATTCTTAAACATATTATTTTGATTATTAATAGTGATGTTCTACTATAGTTAATACACATATACCATATTTTTCGGACTATAAGATGCACCAGAGTATAAGATGCACCAAGATTTTAAAGAGGTAAATAAAAAAAAGTTTTTACACTCTGCAGGCCTCTCAAACCCTTTGCATGCCTCCCTTTTTGTGAAAAATGGGGCATGCAGAGAGCTTCAGAGGCCTGAAAAGTTCTCCTGGGGGCTGGGGCAAAAACAAGCAAAAAACAAGCCCATTTTTTGCGGGAAAAAACAGGGCATGCATAGGCTTTGGGAGGCTTGTAGAGGGCTCCTAGGGGCTGGGTCAAAAACAAGGAAAAAACAACCCATTTTTCACAAAAACGGCCCCATTTTTTGCAAAAGAACAGGGCACACATAGGCTTGGGAAGACTTGTAGAGTACTCCTTGGGGCTGTGGGGGTATTAGCAAAAAATAGCCTGTTTTTTGCTTGTTTTTGCCTTCCCCAGCCCCCAGGAGCACTTTGCAGGCATCCCAAACCCTCTGCATGTCCATTTTTGTGAAAAGCGGAATACACAGGGATGGGGTTTGGGGAGGCCAAAAATGCTGTATTCAGTGTATAAGATGCACCCAGATTTTCAGCCTCTTTTTTAGGGGGAAAAGATGCATCTTATACTCTGAAAAATATGGTAATTTTTCTTCTGTTAATTAGTCTGATAGAATAAAAGAAAATAGTTTGAAGTAAAAAGTATAAATTGCAGAATCTCTTTTATACTCAAATAAAAATCACTGAAAGTATCTTTTTAAAAAATGGAAAGATGTTTGTTTTTATCCGTTCAATTGAAAAGGTTTACTTTGCAGACACACTTAACATTTTATTACTTGATTCTTTTACATTTAATACTTCATTTGAATATTGAACTGATAAGCATCATCTTAGAAATGATATATGAAACTTCTAATTGTGCTCTGTAATACTGATAAGTCTTTGACATGATGGTCACTTAGTGGGGACTCCCCCCCCCCAAGTTGTTTATCCTGATTTTAAAATTACGATGGCTACTTAATGACTGCTGGAAAAAATGCTGGAAAAAACAGGGGTGATGAATCACTCAACTACTGCAATGACTTATAATCGTAATTCTGGGCTCAGTTATGGTCATAGGTCAAGAATATCTGTATAGAAGAACAAATTCCCAAGTGGAAGTAATCTCTTGAAAATTACAGGAAACTAATTCACATAAATGAAGCTACAAACACCAAGTGTCCTTCCCTGACTAGTTTTTTCTCAATAGAATTTCACAATAAAATATGTAGATGCATGCAAAATATATTATCAATACATTCAGTGAATTAAAGGAAACCAGAATGACATTGCTTATTCTCTATAGATCAATATTTCTAATGGAATGCATTAGTGGTTTTAAGGAAAGAGGGGAGATGTTCCTTAGGAAACAATCAGATAAGAGAAGCAGGAGCCCGCAATCACTGAATAGCAGAGAAAGAAACTGAGAAAAGACCTGTCCTCATAGCTCAGGCAGTTAAAAGTGGCAATAGCAATAGCAGTAGACTTATATACCGCTTCATAGGCCTTTCAGGCCTCTCTAAGCGGTTTACAGAGAGTCAGCATATTGCCCCCAACAATCTGGGTCCTCGTTTTACCCACCTTGGAAGGATGGAAGGCTGAGTCAACCCTGAGCCGGTGAGATTTGAACCGCTGAACTGCTGATCTAGCAGTAGCCTGCAGTGCTGCATTTAACCACTGCGCCACCTTGGCAGGTGGGAAGTTTGTACTTTCAGATTTGCAAGAATCTGTTAATGTAGCCTTACAATAAATAGAATTAGTTCACCTAGTCCTGTTTCCTAAGAGGGCTGACAATATCAGGTATAATTATATTACTATATGAGGACTCAGATTGTTGGGGACAACATGCTGACTCTGTAAACCACTTAGAGAGGGTTGTAAAGCACTGTGAAGAGGTATAGAAGTCTAAATGCTATTGCTATTACAGCTATATTTAGAAAAGCTTTTTTAAGGAAAATCCATTTATTTTCTAAAGCCTTTAAGTGTTAGTTGATTTTAACTTCACCCACTTTGAGGTCACCTTTTATATTCGCAACTGTTTTAAAAACAGAAAGGCAGACAATGTACTTAATAAGAAAACAATACATCAATACCTTAATGGAGATTAACCCAACAATAAGGGGAAGGAAGATCATTTCTTCTCCATCCCAACTTTGCTTATCATTGACTTCTATTTTGCCTTTTAGTTTCCATCTTTGACGGCCATGCCTCATGAAAATCTGTGAAAACAAAACGTGATGTCACTGATCATGTTCATATATACTTTGTTCTTATTCTCCCATTCTGAATCAACCACAATGAGTGAAGAACCCAACAGAACTAATGGATTTGCTTCAATGCATTACAGAAGTGGTTATATTTTGGATTGGAAAATAATGCAAATCATATATTTCCAAGGAAAAAACTGGATCGAATTCTTAATACATCACCCTAGAACAACACAAAGAAGAGAAAGAGAATCACCTTAAAGTGAGATGGGTTGCAACAAACAAATCTAATAAATAAATAAATAAACAATAGCTATATAAGGTTGTCAACATAAATATTATTTCATGAAGCATTACAACATGACACATAAATGCAGAATCACAAAGTATTCAGATTAGAGATATGACTTCGTTCTTGTTCTTTGTTCTAAATTTTCCACTTTACTATTTGTTGGTAAAATAAAATATCTGTCTTTGGGGGAAAAAAGGCAGTCGACTTGAACTATTGATCTGCTGTACTCAGTCTGTCCTGGTTAGATTTGAAGCCACAAGAGGGAAAGGATCTATGCCAAGAATAAAATATTCTGCTGACATGCTTCCAAGACAAAGCTAAAGAAAGATCTGTTGTTATCTTGGAAGGCATCAATCAGCTCTCTGGGACCAGTCTCATAGTCTTTATGTGGGAACTGTTCAGAGTGCATTCATCCATAAACACAGAATAGTGGGACCTTTCTTGCTGTACAGGACATGAGAACAGTAAGAAATGCATGATGGAAGATGACATTTACAAAGTTACTTACCTCATACTGGTCTCCAGGGCAAAGTCGAGCAAAGCCAGCCAGACCTAGAAGCCAAAAACATTTAAAAACTGTTCTAGGTGAAATGCTTATGCTTGAGAAGTGGTTCAGATGAAATGTTTGCGTTGTCCCCTTATATATTAACGACAACATCCTACAATGTTGCCAGAGCACTTATGAATCTAAGAGAGCAACTTTCAGAGGAACTTTTATTCTCTTTTCATTAACAGAAATGATTGTTTTCCCATTTACCTTCTCTGAAGGACTGAGAATAGTAGTGACTGAAACCTGATTGTTTGCTATTACAAGGGTTAATATAATGCATGAGAACACTATTCAATTATTAGCATCTAACTTCTTGAATTCTGCATGCCCATTTGGCACAATCTCAGTATTAATGTAAAATGTAACTTTCAAATTCATATGAAGAAACTAATGTCTGTTCAAATAAGGGATGCATTTAGTTTTCACTTCTCATTGGAAGTAATATCACTCATTTTCTCACGTTAACCACTGGGCAACTCTGTATCTAGAAATAGGTATCATTATATAGATCTAAAGTGAACAGAAAGGGACACTTTTTACTATGTTTATTTTTTTGAATACACATTAAATCCAATTAATATGGACCTTCTTTTACTTTTAAAGATTGGTTTGAAATTCCTGAGTTGCAAACTATTTTCACAGAATTTTCTCTGGAGCAAAAAACGATTCTACAGTTAACGGTAAGTAGAATTCACAGTTCCTCAGATTTTTCTTTTCTAGCACTTTATCAGTACAGTTCCTATATCCTTTAGGTTGTCAATGTCTTTCTGAAATGTGGTGTTTATAATTGCATTCAATATTCTAGCTGCAATCTGACCAATGCAAAAATCATGACTTTACTTGACTTAACACTAAGTATCTACTAAAACTCTCATCTAAGAGTCTCTCCCTTCTTCCCTTCATCTAAGTCTCTCTCTCCCCCTTCCCTTCCTCTCTGTCCCCCCCCCCCCCCCCTCTCTCTGTCCCTCTTTCTCTCTCTCCCTGTCCCCCCCCTCTCTCCTGCCCTCTGACCCCCCCCCCCGCCAAAATAAAATACTACAGTGAAGGGATTGGGTTTTAACTGTATGGAGCAGCAAGGAAATTCTATTGACATTGGAACAAACTTTTTGATCTCTAGGTGGCAGCAGTCCCTCATAAATTTTGTAATGGTTTCGTTTTTTTAAAATATTTATTTGTAATCTACATTAATTATAACTACTCTTTAACCTCAATCAAATGCTTTAGGGGAAGTTTATTAAAAAGTATGACAATAAGTGCCCTTCGTTTTGTAGATAATCAAACACTACAGATGATGAAGATGATGTTGATGATACAATATTAAGCACCAGTCATGAGAGGTAAACCTGGTTCAGATCCTTCTTCTTCCCAGCCATTCAACGTTGCAATTATTGGAACCATTTAATTTTTGCGCTATCTTGCAATAAGGCTTTTTTTAGGGGAGGAAGAGGGTGCCTTCAAGTCAATTTTGACTCCTGGCAACTGTATGGACAGTTTTACAGTTTTCATGGCAAGATTTCAGAAATGATTTGTCAGTGCCTTCTCCTAGCGCTGAAAAAAAGTGACTAGCCCAAGATCACCCATCTAGCTCTATGCCCAAGGCAGGACTAGAACTCATGGGTTTTTTTTATTTGTAGCCTGGTGCCTTAGGCACTAGACCTACCTATCCTTCTTACTGCAATTCTATGGATGTCTATTCCTTTCATGAAATACTAGTCCAGCATAGAACTATTGAATCTGCTTAAAGTCAAACAAAAGAATCAGGCAGCATGATTTATGCATCCATCTGAATTAGGGCCTTTTAAGAAAATGGGGTAACAGCAATTGAGGCTTTAATAAACAAGAGAATATGTAAGAAAAGAAGAATGGGAACAGCTGGACATGTAGCCAGGTTATCTTCCTCTGGCCTAAACAAATTACCTTTCTTTAGCTGGCATTAATGGAAAATTAACTTAAATTAGAAACAAAAGTTTTCAGTTTCCTTTGGCACACTATACAAAAAGAAGGGTTGGGATATGAATCTAATTGACAGAAATCAATCAGAAATCATGAGAAATCATCATTTCTCACTACATTTTCATCAAGAGGTCATTTAAAACATAGTACATTTCATAACAGAACAGAGATTTTAAAAAGTGCCATATTTGCATCAAAAGAAGTAATTGCCTGGAGAGACTGAAAGTAAGTCTACTCTTTTACTAAGCCTTTTAAGTAAGTTATTATGAGATACTCACTGTTTATTATCACCTTTAAAGCACAAAATGCATGTGTGACTCATAAATAGCTGCCATGATAATAGACAACCTACTGTTTCTCTGGCAGATATTAAGAGTGCAATGCCCATTGATCTTTTCTACTATCCAAATTTGTTCAGGGCTATGGGATATAGAATACAATACCTGGAAAGTTGCACATGGCTTATGCCAACAGCTAACAACACAATGGAAATACTGTTAATAATGGGGGACGGGGGAGAGAATGGGACTTGGCTATGTTATTTAAAATGCAATAGATGCATTTCCAAAGACACAACTTAATGAAAACTGATAAGATATAATATTAGCAACCCAAGTCCAAGACCTCTCCCCACAAAAATACTTTTCTATGTATTCAGCAATAAATAAATACAAAATACAATAATAATTCCTATTTCATCAAGAAATTCTAGATCACAGACAAAAATAAGAATCGGCTTTCCTGAGACCAAGGATGGTTAATGTACGTGGACTGTCTTTCTTTCTAATACCACATATTTATTCAGGCAAAGAAACTATGGGCATTTATTGGGCAAATGAAATTCTTATTCACTTTTTAAAGCTAAGAAGATAGCTTCTTCCAGCTAGAAATATGTATCATATCTTAAGACTTTCAGCAGCAGTCTAAATCCCAGAACAAAATTATTTTCCATTGGGTTGATATTAACATTCACATTCTTATTTGTTTAGTATTTATAGACTTGAAACATTTACCAATACTCTGCAGAGGGCATTTCCTTTAATGTTAGAGTTTGATTTTTGTTACCGTGTTTCCCCGAAAATAAAACAGGGCCTTATTTTCTGTTGCCCCACGAAATATGGCCTTGGGCTTATTATAGGGGGAGGGCTTATTGTTTTGGGGTTGCC